ATTCGGAGGAGGCCTAATCTGTGGGATCTAATTGGTCTATTGGAGGTAATTGGCAGCAGGCAGTCTCTCAAGTACCCAGGTCCAATACCATGAAGTAAAGTTTTATACTTAGGCAAGAAAAAACAACTGTACAGATACAAATTAGATGAAATTTGGCTTAATGCCAATAATTATGAGAGGAATCTTGGAGTCCAAGTGGATAATCACTTAAATATAAGCCAACATTGTGCAGCAGCAGCCAAAAAAGCGAATGCAATACTAGCCTGCATTAATAGCGTCATAGAATCAGTATGACATGAAGTATTGGTACCACTTTACAAAGCCTTAGTGCAACCACACTTGGAATACTGCATCCAGTTTTGGTCACACAATATGTAAAAAAAGCTGTGTCTCTGGAAAGAGTGCAGAGAATAGCAACAAAGGTGATTAGGGGGCTGGAGGCTAGAACACATGAAGAACAGTTACAAGAATTGTGTATTTCTAGTCTAATGAAAAAGAAAAGGATTAGGACATAAGACATAATAGCAGTGTTCCAATATTTAATGGGCCGCCATAGAGATGAAGTGGTCAAACTATTTTCCAAAGCACCTGAAGGCAAGACAAGAAACAACGGATGGAAACTAATCAAGGAGAGAAGCAATCTAAAATTAAGGAGAAATTTCCTAATGGTAAGAACAATAACCAGTGGAATGGTTTGCCTTCAGAGTTGTGGGTGCCCCAACACTGGGGGCTTTCAAGAAGAGACTGGACAGCCATTTGAATAACCTCTACCCTTTACAGAGCCGGGAACATGGGGGGCAGGGAGTAGAGGGGAGACAGCACAACTAAGAGTGTGATTGTTTTAATTTGCCCAAGACTCAACTGCCAGAACGGTTTTGCAATGAACTTTGGATGTGGGTGTTAGAGAAATAGCATCTCTGAGTAATGGCTAAGAGAACAGTCAATGGCTCAGTTTCCATATCACACTGAGTCATGATGAGTTCTTCAATAATGGTTTAATGAATACATATTTCTTGACTGGAGGCAGAATACTAAGCCATAAACCTTAGTTTGCAGAAGTGGACTAGTACACGCTAAATTTAAACAAACAAACATTATACATTATAGCTGGTGCTAATATGTCTTTCTGGTTAGAGTTTAGGAGAACACTGTTCAGCTCTGTTCTCACTTGGGAAGCTGTAGTCTAGTAGGAATAGAAAAGGAGAAATATCTTTAGGAATTTCCTAAGTAATATTACTTTTTGCTGCCAGAAGAATAGTCTGCCCATGGTTACTTTTTGTTGCAGGATTCCCTGGCTGCAGAGATCAAGAGCACAATGAGAAAAGGGATGGACAGCTCTGGGTCATCTGAGTGCAAGTGAGTGGAAAGTACAGTAGCATTCACAGATTGGCAAGAGGCCTGAATTTTTTTTAAAAAGTGTATAGCTCTAGGGATACCATGGCGATGAAGGAAGAAGTAAGGGATGCTCACTATCAGGAGGTGAAGGTGGTGCTGGCGGAGGCACGAAATTATGGAGTTGAACTGACTTAGTCTGCAGATAGGTGGAGCTTAGAATACTTCTTGGTGTTATGGACAGTAAAGGCTATGATTTTATTAAAAACAACACTGGAAAAAATTGGGACTTACAAGTATTTCAAGGATGCGACTCTTGAGTTTTTTTGACAAAGAAAGCAACCAACCTTCTTTTTGATTTCTATCACTGATCACAATATTTCCATCTGTCTGCTTATTTTCAGAAGCTTATGGCGTGTGTTTGAGACAGTGAAGGCTGTGAAACGAGCAACAAAATCTAAATCGGGAAGGGCAACCCCTTTGAGTCTTCCTCCACGTTCCCCCAGAGCAGCTTCAGTGGCCTGCAGTCACTTTAGCACTCCACGTAACAACCGTTATGGTTCGGATAGCCCCATTATGCCAGAAGAAAAATATCACTTGGCTCCTGAAGTTTTCAATGCTACCCAGTGAGTATTACTAGGATCTGGACTCCTCTGTGGCAATACAGATTTGTAAAACCTATAGGAGATATCTCACGGTTGACTTAGCCCAGTTTGCCATCTGGCAGTCTTCAGATGAGTTGGACTAGAGTTCTGGAAATTATCATCCCAAATATCCAGACCATGTTCTTCGGAAACTTGGATTAGATCTTAAAGGCCAAACCTACATACAATATTTTTCAGATAAGATGCTCTGGACTATAAGACTCACCTAGCTTTTGGGGAGGAAAACAAGAAAAAAAAATCTGCCTCTGCCCCTCAGCAATTTGTCTCCTTGCATCAAAAAACAAACAGCCTGGTCAGCTTTAGCACAGCCTGTTTTAGCACAAGCAGCTGATTGGTTGTGGGATCTGCCTCTGATCAGCACAAACAGCTGATTGGTGGTTGGAATACCACTGATCAGCTGTTCCAGTCTGCGGGTATCGCCACCACCTGTTGCCACCATTGCTGCCCATCACTGCTGTCCCCTATCGCTGCCTCCGGGTGCCCCATTTTCAACCTTTGTGTGTGTCCCATTTTCAACCTCTGCATGTACCCCATTTTCACCCCATTCCAGGTGGCGTGGATTATCGCCGCTGTCACGTATCCCCGCCGCCTGGAACAGCCCAAAAATGGGGCATGAGGAGGTGGAAAATAGGACGCACGGAGGCTGAAAATGGGGCGTGCAGAGGCAGTGATAGATGGCAGGGATGATGGGCGGTGGTGATCCCCACAGCCTGGAACAGCTGATTGGTAGTATTCTGGGAGACAGATCCAACCACCAATCAGCTGGTTGTGTTAAATCAGGCTGTGCTGAAGCTGATCAGGCTGTTAGATATTTGTTGCAAGGAGGCAAGTTGCTGGGAGGCAGAGGCTGAAGAGTGGGGGTTGGCAGGTTGGCGGGGCTTCGGCAACATTTGCTGTATAAGATGCACAGACATTTCCACCCATTTTGGTGGGGGGGGGAGTGCATCTTATACACCGAAAAATACAATAGTTTCTGCCTCTCCAGCCTTGGATTATGATTATTTCCCAGGAGTTTAGCAACGTATTCCATCTTATTTCAGTTTATGGGGACCATATATTGCAGGGAATGCTGTTTACCTTAATGGATCCCAAACTTTCCAGACCAGCCATAGTTGGAGGTAGTCCCATCGAAAGAAAAAAAAATGAGAAATTTTTTGGGACTGCCTTAAAGGACATCAAAAGATTCATCAGTATTTTGCCCTGCTGGGCCTTTGATAAAGAAAAAGCTGTAAAATAACTATGTTTCTATCTCTAGGAAGCAATTTGGGGTATTGACTTTGAAATGAAAAAGCCAAAACAAGTGGGTAGCTAAAGAAAGACAAGTCTCCTCATTCCTTCCTCACATCACCTTGGATTTCTCTAACAAACAAGGAGAGCAACTCTTACCACCCTATTTCTTTAATTGCTATGCCTACTCTGGCAAAAGCTTTCAGCTAGATTCCTTCGGCACTGCTTTTTCAAACTTTGATTTGCAAACCATAACAATGTCCTCTTGACATCTTGCATTGTTGGGCACAACCCATCAAATTGCTGATGTACCCCAAAATATCTCCTGTCAACCCCAGGGAGCTTATTATCCAGTCATGGTACCTTCTGCCTCTATTGAAAAATGTCTTGGTTCAAATCTCGTGCAGTTGCCAAATGTCCAGTCCTTGCTCTTACTAAAATCAAGACAAGATGTCTTTGTTGGTTTTTTCTAATCTCTTATCGCCATATTTGTCTCTCCCATCCAGTTTCAATAATGCATTTTTGAGGCAGGGATGTGTTTCTGGGACAGATGTTTATATTTTTGTTGACATATTGATGGATCATGGTCAGTCTGTGCTTCTCCAAAAGATGTTGAATGACAGTTTCTAGAATCCCCCATTGTCACTACGTACACTGGAGCTGTGAGGAGCTATCGTTCAGCAACATCTGGAGGACCAGGATTTCCCCCTCTGGCAACAGGGTAATGGTGGTGCTTTCGGAATCAGATCAACTTCACAACTCTCTTTATTTTAGCCGCGGCGTGGCTGCTACATCAGGTACACCTGGCCACCATGTCTTGGAAGCTGCTATCCAGAGTTTGTCTGCTCGCCAGAAGAACTACAGCGCTGAGCTTTCATTTTTTGAGATGGAACGTGAATGCAAACTGAAGCGCTTGGCTCAGGAGGCGGAGGATTTCAGTGGGTGTCTGACCCCCAATGGAAGCATCGCATCCATAGACACCAACTATTCAGGCAGCTCTGGAACCTCCTTCAGCTCCTACTGTTGCTTCCCTGATAAGCTTCAAATTGTTAAGCCTATGGAAGGTTAGTGCAAAGGGGGAGCCCAGGGAAGCCCTCTTCACTTAGGGAAACAGCTTACCGTATTTCCCCCAAAATAAGACAGGGTCTTATTTTGACCCCCGGATTAAGTGCTTGGCCTCATTTTCAGGGAGGTTTTATTATTTTTGAGGTGCAGGAGGCAGTGAGCGTGGTCACCTCATGGTTGCCACTGTATTGCAATATTTTTGGGAGGGCTTATTTTGGGGGGAGGGCTTATTTTAACACATGTACTCAAAAGCTTGATTGGGCTTATTATCCCGGGAGGTCTTATTTTAGGGGAAACAAGGTACTATGAGTTGTTCATTTAATGTGCATCCTTTGGCTTTTCAAGCTCATTATTTTCAGAGTGCCATTCCTGAATAATACAGGTAGTCCTCGACTTACAGCGGTTCATTTAGGGACTGTTTGAAGTTACAGCCTCACTGAAAAAAATGACATGACCATTTTTCACCATTTACGATTGTTGCAACATCCTCGTGGTCCCATAATCAGAATTCGGACACTTGGTTCATAAACTCATATTTATGATGCTTGCAGTATCCTGGGATCATGGGATTCCCCCTTTGTGACCTTCTGACAAGCAACAACAATGGGGAAGCCAGATTCACTTAACAATTGTGTTACTAACTTAACGACTGCTGTGATTAACTTAACAACTATGGCAAGAAAAGTCATAAAGTGGGGCAAAATTCACTTAACAAATGTTGGGCTCAGTTATGGTTGGTTGTAAGTCAAGGAGTATCTGTACTACACTTCCAAAAGTAATCTTATGAAATTCCAAAAGGAAACGGAACTGGAAGGGTGAATTTCTGGCATTCCNTGTGCTTCACAAAATGCCATTTGCACTCCTTCTCCGAAGGCCAGTTTGCACTCTTCCACATTTACAGTTCTTCTCCTGTGACTTGGCAAAATTAAATGATGATGCTGTTTCCCTGACCAGTCTTCTGTGTTTTTGCCTAAATACACACATTCAAACATGTACACACTTCACCTATTGGGAAAACTGAGCTAGATCACTTGCTTCACCCATTAATATAGCTTAACTGTTTTAATAGCAATGACATTTAGAAGTGAAAGCCACCCCATAGTACTTTACAGGGCAGTTTAGAATTGTCCCAAAAAAATCTGGACCCTCATTTTACCGATTTTGGCAAGCTAGAAGGATCTTGAAATTGTCAGGATTGACTTATAGACTGTGGCAGAGTTAGCCTACAATAGTGTATTCTAATCACTGCGCCTCAGGGCTCATTTAATTTAACATAGTGCTCAACCACCCATTGTTACTTATAAATCATTGTTTATTATATACTTCAGTGTTATTCCTGAATCATGCTCACAAATTAAATGAATTATGACACAACATGACTAGTAAATTGAGGTGTCCTACTTTGGTATAAGTGCCTTTAAAATTTGAAGATAGGAAGAGTGATTGTAGAAGAGATAGATAAGAAGCTAAGTCCAGAGAGACATGTCAATCATATCCTGACATTTTTCAGGCTTTGGGCATTTAGATGAATGTCAGAAAAACCTGTTGTGAGAAAGGGTAGGCGGGTAATGTAGAAATAAAATGTGTGACTTCTTATATATACATTTTTTGATTCTGATCAAGGTGATTCAAATATTTTAGTCCAACCTGCCTAGATAACGCCACATTGGAGAGCTGTTGGTTAGACAATGAGGGTTATCAAATTACATTACCATATTTTTCGGAGTATAAGATGTTCCAAAGTATAAGATGCACCTAGATTTGGGGGATGAAAACAAGGGCAAAATATCTGCCTGTGCCTCCCAGCAATTTGCCTCCTTGCAACAAACAGTACAGACANCTCCCCCTCTTGCTTTTCTTCTTCCTTGGTTTCATTGTGGCACTACCACGCGGAAAGCTTTGTTGATTGGACTTCAGGACTGCAACAGAAAAAGCCTGAGAAGAGTCCGAATAGCATCTTTAGCTTGAACCTGGTAGAGAAACTGCAGCAACTGGGCCTTGATAAGGTGTTGGCTAGAGGGGAAGCATCATATCTAACCATACACCAGGAATTTCACCTGGGAAAGAATTGTAGCTCTGGACTTGGAAACCAGCAAGATCAAGTGGAGCATCAATAAAAACGAAGGGGTGTTTTTGTGTCCTACTGCCTGCTTTAGAAAAGCTGGACGAAACTCGGTTGTACAACTAGAATATTGGGTGTACCAAGTTGAGGAGCACTTACGTTCCACTGAGAGCACTGTTTTCTTCACTACTTGTGAATCACTGTGGTTGGCATGTCTATTACAGGGTTACATTGCATCTTCATTCTTCAATTTCTTTTTCCCTCCTTTTCTCTTTCCCACTGCTGATGAAATATTTCTGTCAAATGACTGTTTTTAGACCAATATGTAGATGTATCCCCAATCCCAATCCCATTTCTTCTGCCTTTTGTTGTCAATTTTATTCTACTAGAATTGCACAATTCTAGTAGAATTGGGTTGCCCCCTAACTGGGTTAGGGGGCAAGGGGCAAAAGGAGTGGGGAAACCCTTGAACTTTCCAGCTAGAAATGGCAATGGACGGACTGAGCATTGGAAGCAGTGGCTGGAAGTCGATTGTTATCTGTGCGGAGAAGCAAAGATTAGCAGTAGCATTTCTACATCCTCTTAGCTCATTGTTTTCGTATTTGGTTTTGTTTTCACCTGTCTCTGCCCTGTGTATAGTTCTCATTTTAATCAGGGATGGCAGGCTAAATAGAAATTTTGGTGGGAAATTTTATTGTATTGTGAGGAGTTGAGACGTTTCTTCATCCTCTTTTACTACCAATGCTGCTATCCTTAACCTTTGTTAACTATGACATGGTGTCTAGGTTTTCATCTTGATGAAGCCTGTGGAGATTTTCTCTCTTAAAAGACCTAATCATAGTTTATTATAAAAAATATTGATGAAAGATCATCAGGCTTTGATTGTGGTTGTATTATATTTCCAAAATGAAGCAGCTGTTGCTTTCTCTTTGGTGTCTGAGGATTTCATTTGGGAATGTAGAATTTCCTGTTTCTTAAACAAAATCCCAGCATTT